TAATAACTATTTAAATAATAAAATGTGATAATAGTGTGTTAGTTAACAATAGTTGTTGAAAAATGTATCAGAAATAGCAAAAAAAACCTTTATTAATAAAAGAATAAAATATTACCTCGTAGATAATTGCTCTTCCATAATCAATGAGTATTGGAACAAGTGCTATAATCTGACTGACAATGAGTGTCGATGTTAAATGAAAATCCTCAATAGAAACTGAAAAGTATAGTTTGAAAAACTTAAATAGCAAAATATTGTTAACTCTTGTGTTTAAATAACTTTGAACATAATTGCAAGACTTTCAAGAAAACAAATAAAGTATACTACCTCAAATGTCACGGGGACGGTTTCAGTCAATTTGCGCAGGTGACAATTGAAGGGGATTACTGTACATTCATTTACCTTATGCAGTATGCTTGATGTCACTGACAAAAAGGAATTGTAACGCGACTTTTAGTAAACTTATACTAGCTGTCACGAATATTTTCATTCGGCGGTTCGATGCGAACGTATGACAATATAAAAAAGATCGATGTTTTTGGTTTGAAATCGAAATGTGTCAGTATTCATATCTATTACCATTCCTACTTCTCACTTCATTACTGTTTTGTCGTAGCGCGCAACGCTCGGTCTCAGAAACATTAGTTTCAAATTGTTAAAAGTTTTTGACCTGTGTCTTTCACTATGTTTAAAAGTATTCTGTTACTAATATTATAAGGTACTATTATTCATAATAGTATATTCATAACTTTATTATTCATACATTATGAATAATAATCTAATATATTTTATGTCGGAAAATGGCGAAAAAATGGTTTTAATTTTTTTTTTGTTATGTTCCACCAAATTTAAAAATCAGGAAAAAAATCACGAATATAATTTATGTTGGGAATGAGTGAATTCCAATAAATGATTGAAAGATGGTTTATTTAGTCAAAAACAGACTTGACGACACATCGTATACAAAAACGGTTAGAGAGAAGAAAAAAACTGCCGGTAGGGCATGAATACAAAAACGCGCCTAGCGGCAAACAGAATATTAAACATAAAGATGTCGATAATTAATCGGCTGTAACTCGTATGTCGGTAATCCGCCGGGCGCCATAATTGATTGGACAAGCAACTATCCATCAATCTTCACTTTGCGATGTCCTATCCCATAATGGTCAGGCAACGATTATGTGAGATTCGTTTTAATCCCTTGGTAAGGATGTCCGCAGGATTTTCGTTGGACGGCACATACGATAGGACCAGCTGGCCATCCTCTACTTTCTCCCTCACAATATGGTAGGCGATGTCGATATGTTTCGTCCTGTTTTTCTCCACTCTGTTTCTGGAGAAATCTATTGCTGCCCGATTGTCACAGAACATTTGACAACCTGTGAATAAAGAAGAAAGTTCAAGTTCTGACAAAAACATATCTAACCACACTATTTCTTTGATTCCGGTCGACAGGGCCACATATTCTGCTTCCATTGTGGAAGTTGATATGCCAGTCTGTTTCGTTGATCGCCAATGGATGAGATTTGCTCCTAGCATGACCGCAACACCGGTGTATGAATGTCGGTCATCTTGATCTTCTGCCCAGTCTGCTTCGCAATAAACTTGAATCCGTTGCTCGTTTCCAGCTTTGTATGTCAATCCAAGGTTCTTGGTCTTACCCAAGTATCGCAGGACGTGTTTCGCTTGATTCCATTGAGACCTTCCTGGATTGGAATTATATTGTGATAATTTTGAAACAGCAAAAGCGATGTCTGGCCTCGTATTCTGAGCCAGATACATCAATGATCCTATTAGCTCTCGATATGGTACGCGCGACATGTCTTCCTTTTCGCCTGGTGTTTTCGGACAATCCTCTTTGCTCATTTTTATTCCTAGGTTCAAGGGGGTTGACGCCGGTCTACTCTCTCGCATGTTATATCTTTCAAGCAGTGATTCAATGTAGTTCTCCTGTGTTAATTTCACTGTATCAGGCTGCCCCCAGTCAAGTTTCACTCCTAACGCGAAGTGTATCTCTCCCAAATCCTTGACTTCATATTTCCTTGTTATGGTTTTAACCACTTCAGTGATCGAGTTTGACTTTCTCGAAAATAGAAATATATCATCTACGTATATTATTGCTATTAGCCAATGTTCCTTATGATATGTGCAGTTTGAAGATTTGAGCCTTTTAAAACCTATTTCGATCAGAAAAGTGTCTAGTTCTTCGTTCCAGTTCCTTCCTGATTGTTTTAGTCCATAGATGGGACGCAGCAGCCTCGCCACTTCTCCATTTTCAGCGTTCGTAAAAGGGGGTAACTCCATGTACATATATCTCTTCTCGCAGGTTTCCGTATAGATACGCATTTTTTACATCAATGTGTCTGGTGTACCACTGATATTCTACTGACAGAGCTGATAGTAATCTAATCACTGAAAAGTTTACCACAGGTGAATACGTTTCGCCATAATCAACTTCCTTTCGTTGTGTGAAACCTCGCGCCACTAATCTAGCTTTGTACCTCGTAATCTTACCATCGGCATTTGCTTTCAGTTTGAATACCCACTTGCATCCTACGCATTTCTTCCCTTCAGGCAGCTGAGTAATCTCCCAGGTTTTTCGTTGCACCAAGCTATCTACCTCTACTTTTATTGCGCACCTCCATTGTTTAAATTGCGGTGATGCCAGCGCTTCGTTAATGTCTTGCGGCTCCCTGACTTCTATTAGGTTTACCTCTATATCACTTGCTTCCGTCGACGCTTCCTCTTCTTCACATATTTGTTGGGTTTCTTTAGGCTTTCCTTTTCTTCCGTAAGGATTACGAGCTTTCCTTTTGGGCCTGCCCCTTCTCGGAGTTTCCGTCGATTCTCGTTCTTCTGCCGTCTCTCTTTCCGAAGAATCTCCCAATTCTACATCTGTTCTTTTCGGCGATCTCGGTGGACTTTTCTTCTTACAACTTAATTGCTTTTGTGCGGGCTCCATTTCTTCTGTTGTCGAGTCGTCTACATCGCCCGGCCAAACTTCATTATATTTGAATCTCTGTGGCACTTCTTTATAGATCCACTCGTGTCCTATTTTATCTTCAGCAAACTTAACGTACTTTATTATGATGACATCTCCCTTCTATGGGCATCATAGTCGATATCCTCTCGTTTGCGTGGCGTAGCCGACGAATATACATTCCGCCGCTTTATCGTCCAGCTTCTTTCGCCCTTGGTCTGGTAATCGTGCATAGGCAAGGCAGCCATAAGCCTTTAAATGACGTACGCTTGGAATCTTTTCGGTCCACACGGTGAATGGGATTTGATCACGAATTGTTGAATGACATACTCTGTTTTTGATATATGCTGCTGTAGTGACTGCTTCGGCCCAAAATTTTGGAGGTAGATGTGCCGATTTGAGCATTGATCTCGTCAGATCCAATAGGGTTCTGTTTATTCTCTCAGCTACCCCGTTCATCTGAGGCGTCTCCACGTTTGATTTTTCATGTTTAATGCCTGCAGATCTGAAGTATTCTGATAATTCCTTGTTGCAGAATTCTAATCCATTATCTGTTCGGAATCTCTTTACTTTTCTGTCTTTTTCGCGTTCTATTCTAGCAATATAGCTTTTTACACAGCTTTTAACTTCTTTTTTGGAGCTTATACACAAGACCGTAACATTTCGCGAGAAATCATCCGTGAACGTTATGAAATACCTGCTACCGCCTATTGATTTCACGGTCATAGGACCACACAGATCCGAAAGGATTAGTTCACATACTTCTCTTGATTGTCTTGATTTTAAGGTAGCGCAAGCGGTCTTCCTATGCAGCATGCTTCACATGTGTGTCTGTCCATCTTCGCGTCGTCCAATCCGATAACACGATTCGCTTCCGCTAATTTCTTAATTGTGCTATTACCGACGTGACAGAACCTATGATGCCAGATCAATTTCTAACTTACAAGATTCCTTCATGAGCTCTCATGGTGCATTAGGCTCCAACTCGACACCTAATACATATAAATCATTTCGCCTATATGCTTCGCATACTACTCGTTTGGTAGCGACATTTCTAATTTTTACTTTACCGTTCCGTATTAGTAACTCTTTCCCTTTTCGCTCCATTTGTGAGACCGACATCAAATTCTTTCTGATATTAGGGACATAATAAACATCTCGCAGGACTATATTTCTTTTTACATTTGCAACGGTCGTTTTTAGAAATATATCGCACACCTTTTGCTCGTAGCGTCGCGCCATTTTGTTTATCCGCAGCGGTATTAATTATCTCAGAATCTACCCTTTTAAAATTGGTGAACCACTCTCGTTGCTTACACACGTGATGCGTGCTTCCACTATCCAAAATCCATGTATCTTTGATGTCGACATTATACAAGGACATGAGAAGTGCATCGTATTTCTTTTCCTGTTTAACGTCAGGTTTCTTATGAAGTCCGTCCTTCCTTAATCGGCAATCTCTTGCAAGGTGACCAACTTTCCTGCAATTAAAACAAGTGAGTGACTTATATTTCTCGTTACCTGTTGTCTTTGTCTTTTTATCTTCGTTTCTTTTGTTCATCACCAATGCCTCTTTTGACGAATCTGTTCTAACGTCGAGTCTGGATTGACGTCTGTCGTATTCAGCTAACAGAACTCTCTTTATTTCCGCCGACGTAAATCTGTCGTCCGGCAAACTCGCTAGAGCCATTTAAGTTTTCATAATCGTCTGGAAGTCCAGTTAGTATCGCATATGCAAGGTCTTCATCTTTTACTTCAGCGTCTGCGTCTCTGAGGTTGGTGGCGGCAACCTTCGCTCTGGCAATATACGCAGACATGTGCTCATCGCCTTTCATTTGTAGATGATAGAATACCTTTTTCAATTGCATAATCGTTACTCTTGATTTGGGCTCGTGAATTTGTTCGAGCGTTTGCCATGCTTCGTGTGCACTTTTGCAATCCTCTACGTGTATCTGTTGATCTATTTCTAAACTCAAGCCTATAGTCGCTAATGCCTTGTCGTCGTTTGTTTGGTGCAATTTTCTGTCGGCTGTAGTAGCTGTATCGCTTAGTATGATATCACCGAGTGCATAACCTAGTAGTCCCTTACCTTTTAGGAGCCACTTTATCTCGGTTTTCCATGTCCGGTAATTTCTGTCGGACAGCTTCTCGACTACATTATCACTTCTATTGTCCGTATGACTCATCTTTCAATACTGCTTCTAAAGTCTCTTCTTACGTCCTTTTCTTTTATATTTTTGAACGTCCTGGGCCCATAACCATTTGTTGGGAATGAGTGAATTCCAATAAATGATTGAAAGATGGTTTATTTAGTCAAAAACAGACTTGACGACACATCGTATACAAAAACGGTTAGAGAGAAGAAAAAAACTGCCGGTAGGGCATGAATACAAAAACGCGCCTAGCGGTAAACAGAATATTAAACATAAGATGTCGATAACTAATCGGCTGTGACTCGTATGTCGGTAATCCGCCGGGCGCCATAATTGATTGGACAAGGAACTATCCATCAATTTATGATAAGATTTAGCTGCTGAATTATTTTAAAAGTGGTAAAACATTCATATCATATAAAAAATGCAATTTCAAAAATTCTTGAATTTTTTAAAAACAGAATTTTGAGCCAAGAATGACAAAAAAATTCTT